GCTTCCTAGAAGCACTGCAGCTAATGCTCAAGGCACTGCAAATTGCTTTCGCCTCCCTCCTTCCCCACAACTTTCACAAGAAAGCCTCATCTATGAAAACTGGCCAGTAATAGATGAAGGTACTTCTTGTATCATCATCCATTCCAGAGTAGTGGCAATGGGGTATTAAACTGGAGGGACCTTCCGAAGACAGCTAGACCCTCAGGAACAGCAGCTCTGGCCATGAAACATGGCTTTCCTCATCAGAAACCTGCTGAGACCGAAGAAAAACCTACTGTGTAACCTCAGATCTTGACACTGCTCTGCTTAAACCTTCCACTGGTGTTACTGGCATGGCAAGTGAAGCCCAGGCTTACCACCACGGATCTGGAAGCCCTACAGCCCCGGGTCTTCCTCGCCAGCCTATTTAACATTCAAGTCTTCACTTAGTTGGACCCTAACACTATATCAAACAACCTCCACTCTCCCTACAAGCTGGCCCTGTCTTCTCACAGAGCTTTTATGCCTGCCACTCACCAGTCTCCCAGCTCCTCATTTCCTTATCTTTCAAGCTTGAGCTCAGAAAGGCTTTCTCTGGCTCTCTCTCCAAAATGCTCCCTCCTCCCGTTCTGCTGTCACCATCCTGTTAAAACTTTTGCATCACTAACGATCTACAACTAAGAATCTACAACCATTTTATCAAACTATTTTTCACTTGTTTACTATCATGCCCTTACCCAAGCTCAGAGTGTAGGCTCTGTCAGAGGAAAGACCTTTTCCGAGTTGCTGCCACCACTGGTAGCAGTGTCTGGCACAGAGTAGGACTTCAGTAAATACTTCAGAGATGAAGGAACGTGTTCTAAGCTGCAACCTGCCCCTGCAGCTGTCTAGCTGTATAATTTGAGGTGAGCCACTGCACCTGCACAAACTTCGGTATCGTCATCTGTGAAGTTCTGCTAGGATACAGGCTCATTTACATAGAGTTTTTGAGTTTCCTCAAAAAGTGAATAGAGCTTGGGGCGCCTGGGTGGCTCAGTGGGTTAAAGCCTCTGCCTTCAGCTCAGGTCATGATCCCAGGGTCCTGGGTTCGAGCCCCACATCAGGCTCTCTGCTCAGTGGGGAGCCTGCTTCCTCCTCTCTCTGCCTGCCTCTCTGCCTGCTTGTGATCTCTGTCTGTCAAATGAATAAATAAAATCTTTAAAAAAAAAAAAAAGTGACTAGAGTTTACCCTACAATCCAGCAATTGCACTACTAGTAATGTATCCAAAGGTTGCAAAAATACTGATTCAAAGGGGCACATGCACCCTGATGTTTAAAGCAACATTATCAACAATAGCCAAATTACGGGAAAAGCTTGAATATCCATCACAGCAAGTGAGCGCGTGAGCGCGCGCGCGCACACACACACACACACACACACACACACACAGATTACTCAGCCACTGAAAAGAATAAAATGCTGCCATTTGCAACGATGTGGAAGCAGCTTATCCTAAGCAAAATAAGTCAGGAAAGACAAACCATATGATTTCACTCATATGCGGAATTTAAGAAACAAAACAGATGAACATATGGTAAGGGGGGGATAAAAAGAGAAGGAAGGAAGAAACCGTAAGAGACCCTTAACTATAGAGAACAAACTGAAGGTTGATGGAGGAAGGGTGGGTGGGGGGTTACGCTAGCTGGGTGATCGATGTTACGGTGGGCACTTATGATGAGCACTGGGTGTTACAGGCAAGTGATGAGTCACTAAATTCTATGCCTGAGACCAGTATTACACTATATGTTACCTAGAATTTAAACAAAAATTTGAAAAAAATAGTTTTTTTCCTAAAGGAGACTTTAAAAGTTTAGAGACTAAAAATGAAACACACAACTGGGCAACAAAATCACCATTTATTGAACAATTCTTACGTATTAGCATGGAGCTATATTAAGGCATACATTATATATATTTATACTTAATCTTCCAACATAATAAGTATTATTGTTCATATTCTGTAGAAGAAAATTTAGGCTGCTTATTTCACTCCTTAAAATGCTTCCTCAGTTGTCACCTTTTTAATGAGGCTTTCTATGGTCAACCTATATAAAATTACAAATCCACTCTCTGTCCTGAATTCCTTATTTATCTGCCCTGCCTTAAATTCTGCATGACAATGTATCCCACTTATTTTTTTATCTCCCCTTATGAAAATACAAGTTCTACAAGGCAGAGATTTTTTTTTTTTTTCCTCTGTTCTCTTCTGAAACCCCAGCACCCAGTAGAGGACCTGATACAAAGTAGGTAAAAGTATTTAAAAAATGAGTAATGAATGAATGAATGTACAGCTGAGTGCACAGATGAGTTTCTATGAGGTAGTTCTCAAAGTCTGTACAGTTCAAAGCCTTTCCACGTGTTGGTACCAGAGTTACTGTGTACACACACGTGTTTGTGTTTGTATATATTATATATATGTATGTATACATATATACATATATACATATGTACATAATATACATATATACATAATATACATTATATATGTATACATACATATATATGTACATATATATAATATATTGCATAAAAGTTGATCAGTAAAGAAATGAAATTAGTAAGACTGGTGACAAGGAACTAGGAAATGAAGGTTGAGACAGAACATCTGTCTAGAAAAAGACAATGCCATTCCTTAAGATGCGCAAAGTGCGATTATTTTTTTTTTTACTTATTACAGAATATGATGATACAGGGTCTCACTGGGTTGGAACGTGGGAGGACAGACAAGTAAAGTTGAACTGCATGATGAGCTGAGTCTGGTATGTTCCCCCCAAGAAGGTCTCTTGAGTTCTAAAGCTATTTGGGCAAGGAGGCTAAAAGCAAAGACTACAGCAGCCCCAAAAGTACTGAGGAAACAGAATTGGCGTTCAGATCCCACCAAGAAGAGGGGACCAGTGTACGTTCCTGACTCATGTGGAACACCTGAGAGGCTAGGTCTTAGGAGCAAAGGCAAACCAGAAAGAGTCTAAACCTTACCAGAACTGTACCTCTGTCTCATCTCAGAGATAATTACCCATCCCTACCCCTCCACCCCCATCTCTCTCTCCCTTTCTCTTTCTCTCTCTCTCTCTCTCTCTCTCACACACACACACACACACACACACAGTCTCCTTATCAGAAAAAAGAATAAGTCCCTGGAGAAAGATAACATCACCTGAAGCCTTTGTAAGTTGCCCTACATAAGGTCGGGCAGTCAATTACATTATGGTATGAAGAAAGAGACAACCAAGTAACAAAAGAAAGTACCGAATAATAGAAACACATATAAAGTTGATCCAGATACTGAAATTAACCGCTTAACGTCCTTCTAAGCTGTGACTAATATGTTCAAGAAATACAGGAAAAGATGGCAAATACAGATTTTTTAAATTATAAATTCCACCAAAGACCATAACCTAAAAAGGAATAAACAGAAATTCTAGAACAGAACACTATAACAAAAATTAAAATTAAGAACTCAATAGATGGGCTTTAGCAGCAGATTAGGCACAGGAAATTTACTAAACTGCAAGACAGATAAATAGAAAACATCCAATATCTAAGAGTTTAGTGTATATGAAAGAACAGTTTTAGGGGACAGCATCACTGATTTTTACGAATGATAAAAATAATAGGACATACTAGTAGGCACCTGCAACTCTTCTAGGCTCAGTGTATTTAATCCCTATAAAACCAATGAGGTAGGTAGTATCCTATTAAGATCTCCCTTTAACAGACAACAAAACTGAAACAGTTTAGATAATTCTGCAAGCAAGTGAATGGATAAGGCAGAATCTGAACTCGGGCAGTTTGACCCCGAAGTCCATGTAATCAGTAAACTGAACTGCAGTGGTTAATAACAACTGAACTTTGGTGACGTTTTTATATTTGTTACTATCCTCTTAAATCCCTCCCAGCATGGTTAGATGGAATTAGTAATCAGTGACTGCTCTAATGATGACTTGTAAATAACTTAAAATTAATCATAAGTTATGACTTGTAAATAATTTAAAATTAACCATAAATTATGCCATGATGCTTTTATATGGCCCATTTGGAGAAAAGCTTGGTCGCCTGGTCCCATAGGTACAGCCAGGTAGTGACTCCAAATGCAGGCTAGCACAGGAGGAAAGAAACTCTACAGTCTCAGCCTTGAAAATTCAAACCTATAAAATGACAGCCCATATAATATAAAATTATGGAAGGAAATATTCAACACAAATAAAGAAGTGGCAGAAATACCTAAAGAGATAACTTCTTACAAAACCTACATGGGACACCGAGAACTCCTCTCGAAGAGTGCATGTGACAGCAGAGTTTAAGCTGGACTTAGCTCATCGACCCATTTGGGATTGTAGTATAAATCCTGAAACTATTCTAACGAGAACACCTTTCCTTTCTCATCATTGGTTGAGAAAGCCAACAAGAAGCCTTCTCTGACCTTCAAATGCCCTGCTTTTTGATTATCCAGAGGAGGAAGTATAAAATTAATTTGTAGTGAGAAAAAAACTAAAAATGCTGGGGGAAACTGTTACCGTCACCTCCTGGCATTCTGCCATTAGAAATAAAGCTCTCTCTACAAAATTTTCTAAGTTCAAGAAAAAATACCGCTTATAATGCACTTTTCTGTCTTTAGACATCTGGACCAAGATTTTGTAAGATCTGTGTTTGTGGTCTTGATTTTTAGGAAACATTTTAAAAGTACTGATAATGTCTGCAGGGCTAACACATTCTGGAAAATGTTACTCTGTATACCACCTGCAAGGTGGGCAAAGCCATCAGAACTGGGGTTTTGTCTTCTGAATGTGGCACCCCATGTTCTTTCCAGGCATATCTAACCATCACCTTTCATGTGAGAACCTGCCACATTTCAGGAAACATCTAAGACTAAATTCTGGAAACTTCTGGTCACAGCACAAACTTAGTTTCTTTGATAAGAACTTAGAAAAAGTTCTTCAAACAACAGAAAACTGGTAACATTTAAAAAAATAATAATACTTACCTTTGAATATTTCTGTAATTCAGCATCATCTGCAATCTGTGTATCCAAAGTAGCAACCTAGTATTACAAGGAAAAAAAAACACTCAATATTTGTAAAAGCATAACTTCATTTCTTCTTAGGTTTTCTGAAAAAAGATCTGTAAACCCTTTATATTGATAACACCATCTGATCTGCATTCTCATCTTTTTCTGATATTTCTGAAATCAGGAAGTATAACACATAATGCAAAATGTCAAATTTTTTTTTGTTGTTACCGTTTTCTAGAGCAGTCTTTTCCCCCTAAATTACTTGGTTGAACCAGAAGGGAATGGGCAAAACACATACACTATTTTTAAAAATCCATTACCCTTAAAGTTTTAATATAATCCTGTTATAAGGAGTCCATAAAAATTTTATTCTTTTAGCAAAGCCAAGAGCATAATCATTTTCACTTTTAAATTCAGGCCTTAAAATGAAGTTTGCGAGGTCAGTAAAGTGAGATGAGTTTGGAAAAACTGAGGCATCTGACTTTCTACAGCAAACTCCATCATTTCCCTGGGAGACATAGCTGGCAAGGACACAAACAGAAAGACCTGGCCTGGTGAGCAGCTCACGGAATATACTTAAAGCTCTTAATCCTGGCCTAAAACTATTGTTCTAAGCCTCAGTGGTAGAGATCCACAGAAGTGAATTCCTAGCAAGCAAAATACTTCACTGATGATGTGCATCTGTAAGTTGTTAATAAAGTAGGGTGTATCTGGAGGGAGGGGATAAGTTAAACAATGATCCAACTAAAGCTTCTAGAAATACTGCATTTCACATAAGTAGATTCTAGAAGAAAAATTAAATCAGAAACATCAGAGTACACAAGGGCATGCATGCATTTATTTATCTTGCCTGGTTTCTCCTTTCCGCTCCTCATCCCTCAAGACAGCAAGAACCCTTGATGAATAAGTTGTCACTTTAAATTCCCAACCTCAAATTCTGTCTCTTCTTTCTCACCATTATGTTATGCTCTCATTGTGTGATAAATGAAATTTGGAGGAGTAGTTATGAGGATAAAATTTTAACTAAAAAGAGCCCATCACAAAACTGTCCCATGGATATCTACTGGGACACCAAATTGCTTTATATATCAAACTACTACGAATAGTAGAAAAAGTTATTTGCTAAGGTGATAGATAGCCTAATGACAAAACAGCATTTAAAATCTATGAGGTAAAGCAGCAGCAGTTCATGAGGACCAAAAGCAAGTACGAAATTAGCAAGAATAGAGTATGGAATGTTTTAACGCCTCTTAATGATGCTGGAAATTTCCTGACAATACATAGTGGTTGCATGTTCTGAACCAAGAAAAGGGGAAAAAAAAAAAATCTCCAACCAGCCAACAAGCACTAATGATAAACATATGGGAGACAACATGAATGACAATAGAAATTTAATAGAATATTTTATTACTAATGCATTTAGTGAACACTGTAGATGCTTTTCCAAGCACAGCTTTCTGCTTTCACATGGATTCATAAGGGGGAGTGTAATCAATCCCTTACTCGATGAATCTAATAACAGGTGAAAGGAAGTCTAATGGACCACTGGTGCTATAAACTTATACCTAACCTAAATTACTTCCTGTTCTCCCTAATACATTTGATAATCATTCTTTCATTTTTCTCATAAAACTGTAAGATTCTTTGTGAAACATAGGACTAATATCCACAGCCCTTTCAGTGTACAATAAAACAAACAGATCATAAAAGCAATCATAAAAATGCCAGCAATTTTAAGCAGCTGATACAGGTTATAAATTTAAAGGCAAGTCTTCTAAAATTCTTCTGCCTACTGTTGACTTAAGTGTTTTCAACATGAACTAAGTGTCTGCTAATTATAACTGAAACTTGTGTGTAGTCCTTAATTGTTCTTACAGCTTAAAATGTTTAAAGGGGCGGGGGGAATCAACTGATCCCCTAGGGAAGAAAGGCAGGAGGGAAAATAAAGGCAAACTGGCTAATCTTGGGCTCTCCCATTTCTTTAAACTGCAATGTTAGGGGCTTGACATGCAATGAGACATGAATGTTTTTTTATTACAATATTTTAACATACCATTACTTCATAATCCGGGCCCAACAGGTTTTCCCATCTAGATTTTAGCTCATTTTCTGGAGAGTCTGGGACCTTTTCTGGAGTTCAGAGAAAAAAAAATGAAGCTAGTATGAGCCAAACTTAACTACTAAATTCCTCAATAATAGCACAGTTCCAGTAAGTAAAAAGGAAATGAATATAAAGGAAAATGCATTAACTTGGGTCTACCAGATAAAGTAAATCAGAGGTGACTTATAAGACTAAGGTAAAATGTTAAGGCTAGTTGTGACCAAATTATGAAGGGGCTTTCGTTAAGGACGATTTCAAAGGGAAGAAGAACTGATAAGTTAGAAATGAAATTTGAAATATACCCACTTTATACGTAAACATCCTGAAGTTTACAAGTAAAATACATCTGGCTTTGCTTTACAATATGTTAAGACAAACAAGGATTTAATTTAAATGTTAATCACTTCAAAGTAAAACCTTCCACTCACCCACAGAAAAAGTAAAAACTTATCAAGACATCTTTACCATCAACTGGGCATATGAACACAATCCAATCAGACTTCTCATCTGGGTGGATATAAAACCATGTCTGGTTTAATTCAACCAGGGAGATATAAGAGCTTTAACATACTAGAAACTCTGTGTACTTTGGTCTCATGTAGTTACTTGGTTATACCTTCGTGACTCTTGAGTATAATATTGCTTTTGCATACGTAACATAACATTGCAGAACTAAGACAGATTTTAAGTGCTCTGCCTATCCTCCTTTATGGTCTTAGCCAGAAGCTCAAGATACAGTTGCTAGTCTGAATAACGCCTAATAGGCAAAAGTTGAAGTACTAAAATACAATTTCAACTTATATCCATAGCAGTAGCAGAAAATAAACAAACCTTCACCGTTTTTTCTGTAAGTTAAAGAAAAACTCTTTTAATTTTGTCACAAGATTAAACAAGTCACAGAACACTTACTCCAACTGACATAACCATCTGTCTAAAATCAAACATAACTTGCAACATCAGCTCTTTCAGTCTGCAGCATGGACAGCTCATCTTGGATGCATATAATGCTTAATTACATAACACAAATCATCAAGTAAAGGCTAACCTCAGAATTCAGAGACTAAGACTAATAAACACCAAAGAGCTTAACTCACTAGATGTTATCCATGTGAAAACAAGGAAATTCGTAAAAGAATATCCATGAAATAACTACATCAACGGACATGCTAGTTTACATGTAGGGGATAACTAACCAAAGATCTTATTAAAAGCAAAATATCAAAAAAAAAAAAAAAAAGCAAAATATCACTTATGTGGGCTCTGTACTTTTGTGCCTATCTATTGCTGTCAACAATAGATAGGCACAATTTCCGGAAGAAATTACATTATGACGACGTGGATGGAACTGGAGGGTATTGTGCTGAGCAAAATAAATCAGTCAGAGAAAGACAATTATCATATGATCTCTCTGATATGATGAATTTGAGAGGCAGGGCAAGGGGTTGTGGGGGGCAGGAAGGGAAAAAAATGAAACAAGATGGGACCAGGGAAGGAGACAAACCATAAAAGACTTTTTTTTTTTTAAGATTTTATTTATTTATTTGACAGACAGAGATCACAAGTAGGCAGAGAGGCAGGCAGGGAGAGGGAGAGGCATGCTTCCTGCTGAGCAGAGATCCCAATGCGGGGCTTGATCCCAGGACCCTGAGATCATGACCTGAGCTGAAGGCAGAGGCTTTAACCCACTGAGCCACTCAGGCACCCCCAGATAGTCACGAGTTTTAAAGCATAGCACAAAGTACCAGAAGAGAAAGACTATTTTCATAGCCCAATAAATCCTGAGCTACGCGAAGTGACTTAAAAATGAATAGTATGATGATCCAAAACAATTATTCAAATGGCAATGAAGGGGAGCAGAATATGCCACCCCAAAATATGCCATATTAGCATGTAGAATACTTTTTTTTAAGATTTTATTTTATTTATTTGACACAGAGAGAAAGATCAGAAGTAGGCAGAGAGGCAAGCAGAGAGAGAGGGGGAAGCAGGCTCCCCACTGAGCAGAGAGCCCGATGTGGGGCTCGATCCCAGGACCCTGAGATCATGACCTGAGCTGAAGGCAGAGGCTTTAACCCACTGAGCCACCCAGGCGCCCCAGCATGTAGAATATTTTGAACTAAAGGCAATCAAGACCAAACAGACTCAGGAAAAACTTTTACCTCTCCCTTAACTATCCAGAAGAATTTAGATAGGAGGCCTATACCAGAAAGAACTATTACCAGAAAGAACTTTTTTATCTGAAAGACCTATTGGCATGGCAGAGCAAACTTTTAATTACCAAACATTTGCTTTTCTTACCATGCTGTGAATTACCCTCCTCATCTTTGAAGCCCCAGGCCTCCATCCCATTCCTTAATTTAGAATGGCATATGAGGCTCAACTGCCCAACTTACTCTTGGGTCTCCTTTTTTTTTTTTCTTTAATTTTAATTTTTATTTATTTGACACAGAGAGAGAGATCACAAGTAGGCAGAGAGGCAGGCAGAGAGAGAGGAAGCAGGCTCCCCACTGAGCGGAGAGACCCATGTGGGGCTCAATCCCAGGACCCTGAGATCATGGCCAAAGGCAGAGGCTTAACCCACTGAGCCACCCAGACACCCCTTGAGTCTCCTTTTTTTGGGGGGGGGCTTCCATACTTAGGAAATTTGTTTTTTGGGGGGCTTCCATACTTAGGAAATTTGTTTTCTCCCATTAATCTGTTTTATATCAATTTAATTATTAGACCAGTCAAAGAACCTAGAGGGGAAGAAGGGAAGTTTTTCTGCCCCTATAACAAAAAAGACAGCTAATTTCTTAGCAGTTCAACGACCTTGGTCTTACTGTCAAGATGAAATTATACATATTCATGAAGAAAAAAATGCAATGAGATTGATCCAAAAAGAGCAGATAAAAGTGAAAATATTTCTAACTTCAGAATGTACTTGATTTTCACACAACAGTTCCATGAAAATCTATCTGGGTTCACTTGAATTTAAAAAGCAAGGATCTAACCACAATCCACTTGTGTCAAAAAGAATAAGGTAAATTTCCAAATTATAGGAAATTTTTTAACTTGAGTGAGGGGTTACTCCTCCCTTCAGGTCATCCTTTCTTGAAACAAGACAATCAAAGCCAAAACTTCCCTGGAAGAGGATGATGTTAAGTATCCCATTTCATTTAACTATCAAGGCTTTCCAGAGCACCTCTGTGCAGAGAATTGGGTGAGACTGCTATTCCAAATGCTTCCAGAACAGAGTCAACTATGTAGCCAAGTATCAGAGTTCAAAGTCAAAAGGACAAAGTTGCACATAAATTAAAAAGAAGATTAAAATATAAGTATACAGGAACCTGACAATTTGATAAAACATGTAAATATGTATGTTATAAATTATTATGGTAAAAGGAAATACTGCTATATGTATACAGATAGCTAGATATCTATAGCTATGTCAATGATAATACATGTTCACATATGCGCTAATTAAGTGCTGACAAGACTAAAAAAATAGTTAACACATACTAATAAAAAAGCATGCAAAATTAATTAAACAAAGATTAAGCAATAACATGCTTAGTCCCCAACTGCCACAAGTGTTAAGATGTTGATATTAAGAATATCCTATATTGGGGCACCTGGATGGCTCAGTGGGTTAAAGCCTCTGCCTTCGGCTCAGGTCATGGTCCCAGAGTCCTGGGATCGAGCCCCACATCAGCCTCTCTGCTCAGTGGGGAGCCTGCTTCCTCCTCTCACTCTCTGCCTGCCTCTCAGCCTACTTATGATCTCTGTCAAATAAATAAATAAAATCTTTAAAAAATATATTAAAAAAAAGAATATCCTATTTTGGGGTGCCTGGGTGGCTTAGTGGGTTAAAGCCTCTGCTTCGGTTTGGGTCATGATCTCAGGGTTCTGGGATCAAGTTCCAAGTTGGGCTCCTTGCTCAGTGGGGAACTTCCTTTTCCCTCTGCCTGCTGCTCCCTGTGCTTGTGTCAAATAAGTAAAATCTTAAAAAAAAAAAAAAAAAAAAGAATATCTTATTTTGGGGGCACTCAGGTGGCTCAGTCAGTTAAGCATCTGCCTGGTCCTGGGATGAGCCCCGTGTCTACTCCCTGCTCAGCGGAGAGTCTGCTTCTTCCTTTCCCCCTGCCCCTGCCCCTGCCCATGCGCTCGCTTGCTCTCCTTCACTCAAATAAATAAATCTTAAAAAAAAAAAAAAAAGAATATCCTATTTCGTATCTTTAAAATGCTTCTAAAATTTCTCACGTTAAATTAACTATAAAGAGAGAAAACTGTTAATAGATGAGAAAGTCAAGTCACTTTGTTTGAATTGAATGCTCTGTGCCTACCTAATTTTTCTACGCCTTGCATGTTGTCATTTTTCAGATTATCCATTCTTTCTTCAGTTTCCTCATCCCCACCATCCAGATCAGTTTCCGTTTCCACTGCTCCAGTTAGGTAGCGGGCTGGTGTTTCCGATGGCTTTACAGCAGTTCCTAAAATAAGAATTGCTAACTTGAATCACTAGCAGCTGAAGAGTGTATTTAAGTGATGTTATTCCAGTCCTGTTCACAACCTCATTACAAACATCTTAAGTAAATTACATATATGATTCCTTTATTGAAAAGGATAAGGAACCAGGCAATGGGAAGGTAAGATCAAGGTCTAGTTGTTGACAAAGCAGAAGTAAATACTTTTCCACAAAGCCTTGGAAAAGAAAAAGAACACTGAGGTCTTACGAAAAAGAACAGTGAGGACTTACACTCTCGTGATTGCAGTTGGTAAAGAGCAAGATAGGCAAAATAAGCCCATTCCAGTGCTCTGGGCTCTCCTAGGTTTTGGCATGACATCATGATCAGTTAAAAACAAAAAATAATAGTTACTCTACATAGGTTACTTTATGAATTGGAAGGGAACTGGAGAGAATTCTCCTGTTTGCAGTGTTTCCTCCCTTAGCTAAATTGAGCTAAGTAAAGCTTTCAATCTCAAGCATGCAAGTCATTACCTATCTCTTAAACATAAGAAAAGTTGAACAAGAGTCATTTTAGGTCATTTTTATTTTTTCCAATTTTTTAAAAAAGATTTTTATTTATTTATTGGACAGAGAGAGAGGGTGACAGCGAGAGAGGGAACACAAGCAGGGAAAGCGAGAGAGGGAGAAACAGGCTCTCTGCTGATCAGGGAGCCCGATGCAGGACTCGATCCCAGGACCCCAGGATCATGACCTGAGCTGAAGGTAGACACTTAACCAACTGAGCCACCCAGGCTCCCCATTTTAAGTCATTTAAAAATGATCACCCATGATGTACAAAGTATTCCTACCAAAAATATTTAACCTGGATCTAAGGCTTTATATCTAACTTCTCACAGGAAATGTAGTGGATAGAGGAACAAGCTGAATTATACCACAAGGACAATTGAATTCAGTATGTAGTATTCTAGTGACTAATGGACAAATCCCTTTACAAAAGTCTGTGCCACAGAGGCAGGGGTGGGGAATTCTTCTAGATTAATGCAGGTAACAAGTCCAATGTGTGACTGAATCTTGGTTTTTGTGAGGTTTTTCCTTCAGGGAGGGCTAAGTAGGAAAAGAAGCTGCAAAAGACATTTGGGGGCAATGTGTTAAGTATCTGACATTAGGGAATTACTATTAATTGTTTTGGTATGATAATGCTATTATTATTATAATATTTTCATTTTTAGAAACTAGAGATTTAAGTATGTAGGACTAAAGTGCCATGATGTCTACTACTCACTCTTAAATAATTAAGGAAAAAGAGAAATAGATGAAACAAATATGGCAAAACATTAACAGCTGAATCTAAATGGTGGGTTTGTATCTGTTATATTATTTTTCAATTTTTCTGTATGCTTAAAAATTTTTACAATACTGTTGACCCATGAACAATCGGGGAACTAGGGGCACTTCCCCTCCCCATGCAACTGAAAACCCATATAAAACTTTTGAATCCCCCCAAATATAACTACTAATAGGGTACTGTTGACTGGAAGCCTTACTGATTGTGTAGTAAATTAACATAAATTTGTATATTATGTGTATTATATACTGTAGTCTTACAATAAAGCTAGAGAAAAGAAAATGTTATTAAGAAAATCATAAGAAAATACATTTACAGAAAATACAGTACAGTACTGTATTTGACAAAAATCCATGTATGAGTGGACCTACACAGTTCAAACCTGTGCTATTCAAGGGTCAACTATAAAAAACTGAAAAATATAATCGGTTAAAAGTTATGATCTTGGGACACTTGGGTGGCCCAGTCAGTTAAGTGACCAACTTTTGATTTCCACTGGAGTTGTGATCTTGGAGTCCTGGGATCAAATTGCATGTGGGCCTCCCCACTCAACAGGGCATCTGCTTCTCTCCCTCTCTCTCTCTCTGCTCCTCCCCTTCCCCCCCCCCCACACTAGGTGCTTGGGCTCTCCCACACACTCTCTCTCAAATAGATAAATCTTTAAAAATAAATAAATATTGTAAAAAAAAAAAAAAACTTTTTAAGTTCCTATGATCTTAACATGACATTTTTAACCACACCTAAAATTTCTTAGATCATTAATCCATTGACACACAGGAAAAGCACAGTCTAGTTCTAGCCAAAGTAATATGCCCAGAAGCTGCTAGTGTCCCTGGGGAAAATAGTTACATACCAGAGTTTACAGCACAGAGCAGTACAGGATATAATTGTATGCTACAAGTAGTATACAAACTGGTACACAAATAAGATATACAAGACATATGAACAGTAGGAGTGTAGAAGAGAAAACGACTTTAGAATGGTAGAGGAAAGTATTGTGCAAGAGCTAGAAGTGCGGTTTGCTTCCGTAAAACAGACAAATGCTGGCTCTGGAAGACAGGCAAAAATGTTGTTATGTGGGGCAGGGAACCCAGGCATCACCATTCACCTACACTACAGTGGCTACACATAAAGCAGGTGATTGCTACAAGGTGTGATAAATGCTACAGTAGAACACTCTTCCAAGGGTGCCAGTAAAGCCCACAGGAAGGACCTCTCAACCACAGAAGGAAGACGTGCAAATTTAGAGTCAAAATTTATCCCAACATAAATTTAAAATGGAGGCATGTGCAGGAAAGAATTGCTAATTCGTAGATGACATATTTTATTTGATACAGTACACTGAAGCCAAGGGCTCTATCAGAGCTATTAAAAACCATTATGTTGATATAAATATTTATGTAAACCTTTTAAGGTCAATATAGCATTTGTACAATTTGTACTATTTAGGCAATTTTTAATTTCATATATATGACGCAGTTGACAGGGCATCTGTCTTTCAGCAGCAAAATTTCCACTATCACATAAAACTTAAAAAGTTCCAATTTAAATATAAATCAATACAGGTTGAAAGCAAGGCTTCCAGGCTTATTATATCTTCAAAAGAGACGGGGGGGGGGGGAAATGTATCCTTCTTCTGACAAATTCTAATCGAATGATTTCTTACTCACTAGTTCTATAACTAGTCATTCATTTTAAACAGAATTTGTTTTAGGACTGCCAAATTTTTTTGATCTACACATTATTAATAACTTGGTAATTAAAAAAACTGGCATGCATACAATTATGTATTTGTTCTATAATGAAAATTTGCTATTCCTTAATCAAAATAACAAATATTTCACAAATAAAAATGTCCTTAACAGAAAGCCAGGTTTTATTTTCCCCCTCTGTATTTCAAAGAATAAATCAGGAGACATTAGAATCAAATATATTGTTAGAAGTCATTTGAAATCTGTAGTGTACAAAATGTCAAAGCATTAGACAAATGAGAGTCCCTAGAACAAAAGGTGCCAAAGCTTTATTATTCAAATACAATAAATGAAATTTAGAAGCTTTTTGGAAAAATGATTTCCGTCTCCATTTAGAACAGCTCGCAGAGCTTAATGCATGTCAGGGTTCGTGTTCTAACATTTGGATAGGCACCTTATAATAAGCAAAGGAAAACTCTTCTTCAGTGCACAAATGAGCTGATTCATTTCAACATCACTGCATTACAAAAGATGGGAAGTTATACCTTCCCAGACTCACGGAACAACTTCCATAAGTAGGCTATCCTCCAAGCCCAGACTTGGTGGTGGGAAGAGGGACAGTGGCATAAGCTACCTGGGTCTGAAGGCCATTCAAGTGGAGAAGCAGATGAAGACGCCTCCCTTCGAACCCTTCGAACTAGGGTTAGATGTACCACTTGGCCTGCATTCCGTAATACTTCAACAACATCCTGGTTGGCAAAACCCTGAATATCCACACCATCCACCTAAAACATTAAGAGACACATTACACAGAGGTTTCAAGTTAGCCGCTGTTTTCAATTCTGGCGAGGCAGAATAAAATTAGGCCTCTATCCCCTGCAAAATCCCAAGATATTTCCTAAGCCAAGAGTGATGAAAGATGCCTCCTTAGATGGATCTGAGGGACAAAGATTCAAATGACAGCAACAAACATTTGTTTCTATGTAAACCACGAAATTAAATGTATGTGTCTATGTAGATGTGTGTGCTTATGCTTCAAAAATATTATTCAAATAAACTTTAAAATTTAACAAATTTCTACTAAATGGAGAAAGACCAGCCTGAATGGACAAAGGGTAATTACAACATTCTCCAACATATAAAATACCTCAAATCTGTATGTACTTAAAACTATTTACTGTTAGCAGAAAAATTACTTCCATGAAGAGATGAAAAGAGCTGGTTAATAGCCTACTAAAATGCATATAAAATGAGTGAGTATAGAGAACACAGAGGTGCCTGAAAGTCTTTTTAGGAGACTGCTAGAACACCTTTCAGATGTATGTGTGTGTGTGTGTGTGTGTGTGTGTGTGTGTGTGTGTGTGTGTTTTCCTCCCCCCCGTACCAATATGATTAGTGACTCCTTTCTTCACCCACGGTAAAAAACAAAAGCAAACAAAAAAACAAATTTAGGACCTTAAGAGTCAAATCAATGAGATTTCACTAAACTTAATTTTTTAAAACATTATGAGATCAGGGGCACCTGGGCGGCTGAATGGGTTAAGTCTCTGCCTTTGGCTCAAGTCATGATCTCAGGGTCCTGGGATTGAGCCCTACATTGGGCTCTTTGCTCAGCAGGGAGCCTGCTTCCCTCTCTCTCTCTGCCTGCCTCTCTGCCTACTTGTGATCTCTCTGTCAAATAAATAAATGAAAACCTAAAAATAAATAAATAAATATATTTTTTAAAAAGGTGGCTGGGGGGCACCTGGGTGGCTCAGTGGGTTAGGCCTCTGCCTTTAGCTCAGGTCATGATCCCAGGTCCTGGGATCGAACCCCGATCCAGCTCTCTGCTCAGCAGGGAGCCTGCTTCCCTCTCTGCCTACTTGTGATTTCTGTCTGTCAAATAAATAAATAAAATCTTTAAAAATAAATAAATAAATAAATAAAAAGGCTGGACCATTTGAAAAAAAAAAAAAATTATGAGATTATATGAAGCCATTCTCCTCTCATGCACACTACCATCAAGATAACTTCTTTTCGGGATGGCTGGATGGCTCAGTCGGTTGGGCCGCTGCCTTTGTCCTGGGTGATGATCTCAAGGTCCTGGGATCAGAGTCCCTAGAGTCCCTCATCAGGCTCCCTGCTCAGCGGGGAGCCTGCTTTTCTCTCTGCCTCTGCCTGCCATTCCGCCTGCTTGTGCGTGCGCGCGCGCTCTCTCTCTCGCTCTCTCTCTGATAAATAAATAAATAAATAAATAAAATCTTAAAAAAAAAAAAAAAAAAAGATAACTTCTTTCCCCCAACTTGATTCAATGCTAAAACAAAGGGCAGGTACTTACAGCAACTATTTTGTCATTCACTTGAATCTGGCCATTGTGGTAAGCAGCACTGCCAGGTATTATACTTTTCACATAAATCCCAGAAGCCTCCCCTGAGATGCACAAAAACATATGGAAAAAGGAAGAAAGCTCTAATTAGACCTTGATTGCCAAATTCATATCAAGAGGTTAATTAGCTACAGGGGCTGATGCGAGTCTTGATAAACACTATTTTGAACACAAGCGGAGAAATTGATGGATTATTTCAAACTGTCACCATCACAAATGACCCGAATTTGAAATGATGTGACTGATGACTATTTCTGGAAAAATAATCAGTAATGGAAGCTTGATGAAACGCACTCTACTGTAAGCTGGAATTCAGGGAGCCCAGGCGGTCTCATCCTCTTGGGCTGTCCCCTTTCTTCCTGCTGCCTTGGAGACTTATCACTTTTCACCAGCACTAAGAAAAGAGTCTCCTACCTGGTCTTCCCTGCCTACATTTAGTTTGCTGCTCATGTTAGCTTCCCAGACTTTCCCAGAAAAGTACACACAGTGTTTAAAAAAGAAAAGAAAGAAAGAATTTCAGCAACATTAAATAATCTTCACATTATAAAATATTTAAATACAAACAAATGGCTAAATAAAAATTACAACGATATAAAAAGTATACAGGCCTATGGGCAAAGACTAGAAGAGAAACTGGAAAATGAAAAACCGTAACTCTGGATGATTTTATTGTTTTATTCTTTTATTTCAAATGAACTTATAATACTGTCCACAGAAGAAAACTAAACATCAATGAATTCCTATTGCCTACATAATAAAATGTAAATTTCACAGAATCATATTCAAGGACCTCCATAATCTGTGGAAAACTTTACTTATCTTCCACTTGCCATCCCTCCAAGGCAAAAGTTCACAGACACAAGACTCTCAATATTTTACCAAAACATTGAGTATTATCATGATGTTATCCCTTTTCTTAATTCATTTTTTCTTCCTATGAAACTCATCCTTTCTACCAAAATCCTTTTTCATGCCTACCACAAATGCTTCTTTGTGAATTCTTTATTTCTTTCTGTCAAATTTAATCTTTCACCTGCCATATGATGATAGTTCACTTATAGCTCTGATAAGACACATATTTCATTTATCCTTAAACAATTGTTATTTACATATTTCTTCCTCTGACTAGTCTTTTCTTATATTTGTTTTTCTATCCCTTTCCGAACCAAGCAAAGTAACCCCCTCAAAAATCCAATGAATAGAACAAGGCAAAAATTACTCCAAAAGTCTGCATTTCAAATAGCAAACTGAATTTTTAACTGTTCTAGTTTTTGGTTTACCATTGCCTCCCTCTCCCAAAGTCCCCAAAACTTCTTTTGAGAGTAAATAAGTAAGATGACTCTCTATTCAGTAACATAAATATCAAATTTTCTCAATTTTCTATCAGTTATTTACCTTCATTTTACTTGGTGTATATATTATATTGCTAGGTTTATAAGGACACTCCAAAAACTTACTATAATAAAGATTCATAAGTCATAAGTTTAGGAACTAAGCCATCATTTCTCTAACCTGACAGCATATTAAGAGCTATTCAATATAGCTTTTTTTCTCAACATTATTTTACAATCCATACTTAGCTCTTTTGGAATTCATTTAAATTCTGAACCTAATAAAGGTGGCACTTAGAAAAATCTAAAGGTCTGAAAACAGTTATTTCATTAGGCTAAAATAGCACAAGGTGGTCTGACATGAATTTCATTCAGGACTTTGAATACATTAGCACTCTTAATCTTTCCACCTGCTGTTAAGTATGCAAAATAATATTTTTTTTTTTAAAATTAACTTTCTAATCTTGCTACTTTTTTAAAAGATTTTATTTATTTATTTGACAGAGAGATCACAAGTAGGCAGAGAGGCAGGCAGAGAGAGAAAGGGGAAGCAGGCTCCCTGCAGAGCAGAAAGCCCGATGTGGGGCTCGATCCCAGGACCCTGAGATCATGACCTGAGCCAAAGGCAGAGGCTTAAGCCACTGAGCCACCCAGGCGCCCCTAATCTTACTATTTTAAAAAAACAGAACATTTCATAACTCTGAATTCATGTTACTAGCAAATATTTATCCAAAAGGTTTATTTTTCCTTACTCTAATTATTGTCTTATAATAATAGAGTAACTCTTAACAATAAAAGCTACCAAAGCTTTGCATGTAGTAGCTAAGGGAGTGTTATTCAGAGATACTTGGGCCATGTATGTATTCTCACAATAGAATCCCTTTATACGACAGGAAAATAATTCTAATGAAAGAATTTGTTTTATGTTATTTTTTTAGTAATTATAATAATACTTTTTAACATTCATAATAAGAAATATATACAGCAGGGGCACCTGGGTGGCTCAGTGGTCAAGTGTCTGCCTTCGGCTCAGGTCATGATCCCAGGGTCCTGCTCAGTGGGAAGCCTGCTTCTCCTTCTCCCCCTCCCCCTGCTTGTGTTCCCTCTCTCGCTGTGTCTCTCTCCGTCAAATAATAAAATCTTAAATATATATATATATATATATATATATATATATATATATATATATACAGTAATCCTTTTATATTATCACATCTAAAATGGCATAATATGTAACAGTCACAATATTTAAAGTATATCTATCTTAGATAAAGAGAAGACACAATTCAAATATTACACATTGAGTTGGATAATTAAATCCTTTTGTTAACGACAATCAAGTCAGCTATAAAACTCCTGAGCTAAAACTAATTCTTTAATCACGGAAAAGTAACTGGCTGCCACTATAGATACATGGTTCTATTGTTCAGTATTGAAATTAAAATTTGCAGATATTTAATTTTACTAGCTAGAAACCTTAACATCCTTTACAATTATTTCCAAATATAAAATAGAAATGACTCATTTACCTGTATGAGCAGCTCCAATATAGCCAACAATTCTAATCCCAAGACTCTGTCCATCTTTTTTCATGAGTTCAACATCATATGTTTCAAAAAGAGAACTGTCCTAAAAGGAAAAAACAATTGTAAGTTTACATAATATTTAGTTCTATAACTGTGTGTAGTCAATTTGTGCGTGGTTTGTCAAGTATTTTTTTAAGAACTCGTGGCAGAATATTAAGATAGTCCCCAGGACTTTTGATTCCGAGTGCTATTACTGCATTTATGGTCCAGGATATGGCAAAAGGGAGATTACCTGGTGCATCTAATCTGATCGGGGGCCTTTCAAAAGCAGAGTTTTCTGGCTGGCAGCAGAGAAAGGAGTGAAAATGAAATATAAAGGCTGGACCTGTGGGTTGAAGATGAGGGGGTCTCGTGAGACCTGGGGGACTGGGGACCTGGAGGAACTGAGAGAGAGCCTTAGCTGAGGAAAGGAAAGAGACTTCAGTCCTACAGCTACAAGGAACAGTATTCAGCCAACAACTCAAATGAGCTTGGAAATGGACTGTCCCCTGCCCAAAAAAAAAGACAGAAATGGACTGTCCCCAGAGCATCCAGATAAGAGTCCAGCCAGCCCTTAATTTTGGCCATACAGGAATCTAAGCAGAAAGCCCACCGAAGCCCACCCAGACTTCCCACCTACACAACTGCAAAATAACAAAGCCTGCTCTTTTAAGCCACGAAGTTTGTGATTTTTTTTTTTTTTTTGAGAGAGAGACAGAGAGAGAGAGAACGCATGAGACACAGGGCTTGATCCATGACCCTGAGACCATGACCTGAGCCAAAATCAAGAGTCAGATGCTTAACCAACTGAGCCACCCAGGTGCTCCTTGTGATAATTTGTTATACAACAATAGAAAACTAATACAGCCACTTAGAAAAAACTCAGGATAAATTTTTACCTTAAAAAAAAAAAAAGTAAAGAAAAATTTAGAAAACAGATGGTAAGAATTACTATGAATAATAATTACTGGGAGCAAAAAATATCAAACTAAAACTTAATTTCATTACTTGCCTTCTAATTTAAAATACTTCTTTAAAAGAATAAAGTGTCTAAAAACATGATTCCATTCAAAACACTAACATTAGAAAGGAAGTATCTGATTGCATCAAATTCTTTTTTTTTTTTAAAGATTTTATTTATTTGACAGACAGAGATCACAAGTAGGCAGAGAGGCAGCCAGAGAGAGAAGGGAGGAAGCAGGCTCCCTGCTGAGCAGAGAGCCCGATGCGATGCGGGGCTCCATCCCAAGACCCTGAGATCATGACCTGAGCCGAAGGCAGAGGCTTTAACCCACTGAGCCACTCAGGCGCCCCTGATTGCATCAAATTCTTACTTATCACACAGTTACATTGGTCCCCACTACTGAACTGAAGACTCTGGAGAGCTAGAGTAATGGAGGGGAAGAAAGTGGCTGTAACCAGTTTGGAGAGGGAAGCAAAAATGATGTTAAGACCTCTGACAGAAAATTTCCATTGACAAGGTTCCAAAAAGGGAGACACAAACAACCCTCTAGACAAGCCCCTCGAATCCACATGAACAATGGTCTCCCATCTCTTCCCACCAAAGTCACTTCTTTCTTCTTCCCCCGGCCTCTCCTTTTAAAATCTATGTATTTCCTTTCACTTTATTAACCCTTGATTCAGAGCCTGTGAAATTACTGGAAAGATCTTGGAATGAACCAAAAAGATCTGAACTCAAATCCCAGCTTGGCAACTGACTTCTTTTATTTTTTGAGATCAGCACCTGAGCTGACTGAGATCAAGAGTCAGATGCCTAACTGACTGAACCACCAGGTGCCCCTCACTCTATGACTTCTAAATGAGTAACGTGGACTTGAGTTCCTTTATTTAATATGATCTCATCTTGATGAAAGGATAGGCCTATCTTGCAGAATTCCTATGAGGATTTCAGATGACCTAGACAAGTCTAGGTGTTTGATAATACTAATTTTTTTTTATTTTTGTTTTGATTTTGATTTTTTATTTTTCAAAAAATATTTTATTTTTCAACAATTTTGATTATTGTTATATTATATAATAAATACTCCCTTTGTTCATTGTGTTCATATCTAATTCATACATTGACTAGTATTGAGTTTCCCTCCAACATGTGGATGTCTCCTCACCACTCTCATGAAATAGAAATGGCAAGTATTGGGGTGCCTAGATGGCTTGGTCGGTAGAGCACGCAACTCTCGATCTTGGGGTCATGAGTTGAAGCCCCACATTGGGAGTAGAGCCTACTTTAAAATAAATAAATAAGGGGTGCCTGGGTGGCTCAGTGGGTTAAGCCTCTGTCTTCTGCTCAGGTCATGATCTCAGGGTCCTGGGATTGAGGCCCGCATCAGGCTATCTGCTTGGTGGGGAGCCTGCTTCCTCCTCTCTCTGCCTGCCTCTTTGCCTACTTATGATCTCTCTCTGTCAAATAAATAAATAAAATCTTTTAAATAAATAATTTTTTTAAAAAGGCTTTCTTTAAAAATAAAAAAGGAATGGCAAATATTATTTTCCAATTTACAAATGAGTAGCTGAATTTCAGGGAGTTTGGATGACTTAATGCTGAGAAACAGCAAAAAAACAAAATCAAACTTGTGTGATATCTCTCAACTGGGTTCTCCTCTGCTTCCCTGCTGAGCACTGAGGCACTACTCCCACCCACATGGCACTTTGAGTTGAAGGCACTTCTAATCTTGCAGAGTCTCATACCCAGCTCATAAAGAGAAAGAATGGTTTGTATACTCACAGCACTAGGGCTCTTGTGAGCTACAGCAGGCAGGGCAACAGGTAAGGCTGCAGGGGTAGGAGGGGTTACGGAAACTGCACCCACAGGCGCTCTTGCAACAAGCATGCGGACTGAGTTTCCACAGTTCCTTAGCACTTGCGCAACTTGCTCGCTGGTCATTCCCTGCACATCTGTGCCACCGATCTTCAAGATGTGGTCCCCCGTCTGGAGTCTTCCATCCTTTAGTTGAAGAACAAAACAAAATTATTCCAAGAAATCAATGATCTAACTTCACTGGCTACTAACCAATTCCTCGGACTTTCATTTCTAATAGAACGGCTGACAGAGAAGCCATCTATAATATGCTACAAACAATATAACAGTTTTAATGAATGCTGAACTGGCAACAGGGAAAAGGAAATATTTGGGGGGAAAAAAAAGATGGGGTGGAGGATGTGTTCAAAAGAAGAGAGGGGCGCCTGGGTGGCTCAGTAGGTTAAGCCTCTGCCTTCGGCTCAGGTCATGATCTCAGGGTCCTGGGATCGAGCCCCACATCGGGCTCTCTGCTCAGCAGGGAGCCTGCTTCCTCCTCTCTCTCTGCCTGCCTCTCTGCCTACTTGTGATCTTTGTCTGTCAAATAAATAAATAAAATCTTTAAAAAAAAAAAAAAAAAAAAAAGAAGAAGAAGAGTAACCAGAATTCTAATATGGCCATTGGCTTGAGGGCATCATTTCATGCCTAATGGCCTAGACCCAGGGTATTCATGACCACAAAGGTAAGGAAGAGATCAGAAAACCCTGGGCCTCAAGAAGGGAAGGAGGTTGGATCCGAGGCCTCTGGCATCAAGCTAGGAACTCTGAAGGCCAACAAACTCAGTGGCTCTTTTAAGGATCAGCAAGATGTCAGTGTGGCTGGAAAGGATGAGCAAAGAGAGTAATCAGGAGGAGATGGGAGCATCAGCTAGAGCTCAGCAGTACAGAGCATTTGCTCTGAGCTGGGGGGAAGGGAAGTCATGAAGCGTTCTGAATAGAGAAGGGACATTATCTGACATGCTTTTACCAAGATCCCTCAAGCTTCTGTGTTGAAAACAGACTATAGGACGGGAAGCAACAGACGCAGAGATACCAGTAAGGTGGCTAAACCAACAATCCAGAAAGAGATAGCAATAGCCTTTGGACTGGGTTAGCAGTTGGTGTGCTGAGAAGGAGACTAGAGAACACATCTCAGTGACTTCTCAACAGGCTCCAATAACAGCTTCTACACAAGGTGTGACGGGAAAAAACTCCCAAGTTTTTACCCCAAGCAACTGGAGAGACAGAGCTGCTTATTAATTGAGAGAGCACTGCTGAGGAATGGATGGGTGGGAGTAAAAATCAGGAGTCTAGTTTTAGAGATATCCAGTCGTAGATCCTTTTAGACATGCAAGTGGAGATGTCAACTATGCAGCTGGATATACAGATCTGGAGTTCAGGAGGGAGGTCCAGACCACATATTTAAATTTAGGAGTCATTAGCATATATAACATATTTGAAGTCAGGATTCTGGGAGAATTCAGAGAAAGGATACATCATGTTCCATTTCTTAAGCTGGGGATTATGTACCTGGTTATTATTATTATTTAAAATGTTTTATTTCTTAAACTAAGTGATACACACAGTGGTGGTTACTGTCATTATTTAAAAATCTGCACAGCCATTACACATACTCTTTTATATGCACTTTTAAAGGTGTATATTTCATACCCAAAAAAATTTTAAAGCAATTTATCAATAAGTACATCAGGTCAAAATGTTTTAACATTTCCATTCTATATCCATTTGTCAAATTCTTGAAATAGCAGATCCATCTGCGTTTTGTTTCACCAGAAATTTTGAATTCTCTTTACTTACCTTTACTATATTAGAGTTACCAAGATGTAAACATAGCTGGCTACAAAAGATTACACCTGCCTAGCACTCTACAGGTCGAAAATCACTTTTCACATATCATCTCACTTGGAGAGGGACAACTTTAAAATGAGTACATGGGATTCAGAAAGGTTGACTGACCTGACCAAGGTCGCAAAGCTAAGAAGCAAACCAAAGTTCAACCCAGTAAAAAACAAAAAATAAAAATAAATAAAAAGCCTTAAGACTAAAAAGTCTAGGGGCTCCTCAGTGGCTCAATAGGTTAAAGCCTCTGCCTTTAGCTCAGGTCATGATTCCAGGGTCCTGGGATTAAGCCCCACACTGGGGCTCTCTGCTCAGCAGGGAGCCTGCTTCCTTCCTCTCTCTGCCTGCCTCTCTGCCTACTTGTGATCAGTCTGTCAAATAAATAAATAAAATCTTAAAAAAAAAAAAAAAGACTAAAAAGTCTATTTTCCGTCTTTCCTTTTCTCCAATTTTGCAGGACTCTGAATCAAGGAAGGTACGAGATCCAAATACTGAGTAAAAAGCCATGGGCTTTCTTGTGAAGTCTGCAGAAGGCCCTAGAAGCAACTGGAAGAGAAGAGGAGGAAAACAGAAAATGCAATTCAATTCAGAAACATCTGCAAAGACTCAGAGAAAAGACAGATACAAAGAGGAAGTAAGAACTGGTGGATTTCTACTTTTAAGCACTGGTAATCTGATACTGTATCAATGCAACAACCTGAAATAAAACAAGTAACTACTCAAGAGAAAGTCGGGGATTGGGGCGCCTGGGTGGCTCATATGGTTAAGCAGCTGCCTTCGGCTCAGGTCATGATGCCAGGGTCCTGGGATTGAGTCCTGTATCGGGCTTCCTGCTCAGTGGGAAGACTGCTTCTCCCTCTCCCACTCTCCCTGCTTATGTACCCTCTCTTGCTGTGTCTCTGTCAAATAAATAAATAAAATCTTAGAAGAAGAAGAAGAAGAAGAAGAAGAAGAAGACGACGAAGGCGAAGGCGAAGACGAAGAAGAAAGTCAGGGGTCATGATGAAAAACAGGGGTAAAGCTGCCTCTGTAAATCAAACCGTCCTTGGCCTGACCAAAGAATAAAGAATATGTCAAATAAGTGAATTTGGCTTGGCCGAAGAAGGGCCCGTCACCGTAAGTACATAGTTAGTCACTTCCTAGGCACTATTTTTTTCCTATTTTACCTCAATTCAATTTAAAATGATGTAGATAATTTGCATCTGTCACTGAAAGTCAAACATTTTCTTCTTCCAGAAAAACAGGTGTTCTAAGGAATTCATAAGTACAAACACAATCATTAGTCAGATTGATAGGGAAAACACCAAAATGACAGCTACCTTGTTTAAGTCCAGCAGCCCCAAACACTGCATTTTACTGATATTTTTTGATCAACATTCTCCTTCCATAACCTGTCTACTGTGCAAGGAATTTAAAAGGCATAGAATTCTTTTTATTCTTAAGGGAAATCATAAATCAGTGATAGCCAATAAATAGCTAGGCTAAGATTCAAAGACATAGTGTGCTAATCAAACATTCAAATATAAAGTTTATCAACCCAAAGGTTTTTTTCAAAAGAGAAAAATTATGCATATAGCCTAAGATAGTACGGTAGGCACATAAATTAAAACAGCTGATGTAATAGGGTACACCACATTATACTGAAAAGACTAAAAGTATCATTTAGTCACCTTTAAAAGGAAAAAGATAAAATACTTTAATCCAAGTTAGCAGGTACAGGCTAAAAAATATATTAGTTTGCATTTTAAATTCCCTGATAGGCAGCTGGATGATAATTTCAGATCAAAAAAATATTTGACAGGCACCTGGGTGGCTCAGTGTGTTCAAGCCTCTGCCTTCAGCTCAGGTCATGATCCCAGGGTCCTAGAATCGAGCCCCACATTGGGCTCTCTGCTCAGCAGGGAGCCTGCTCCCCCCCTCTCTCTCTGCCTGCCTCTCTGCCTACTTGTGATCTCTGTCAAATAAATAAATAAAATCTTAAAAAAAAAAAAAAAATTTGAGAGGCACCTAGCTGGCTCAGTGAACAGAGCCTGAGACTCTTGATGTAACGGTCATGAGTTCAACCCCATCGGGCATGGAGCCTACTTAAAAAAAACAAGAAAAAAAAATTTTTAAGACATTTTAATAAATAAATAAATAATAAACTATTAGAAAACCTAAAGAAACTTAAGTTTGAGCTACAAAATACATCAAAGTTGTCTCTTAGAAAACTAAAACACAGAAAATAAAATTATTATTAGTTTTGATTCCAGGCCAGTGTTATCATTGGTCTTTAATCAAAAGGCAATATAACATAGGCAGAAAACAGCAAATTTATAAAATAAACACTCCCTCAAAGAATTAAAGATATTACATCTAAAAACATCTATCCCACCCTCCTCAAATTCCCAAAGCCCTCATCAACTGGTTTTTAAGGATAAGGAAAAGATGTTTATAGACTCACTCAAAGCAAAAATTCTTGGGAATAATCAACTATTCAGTGGCTTCAAGCTGGGCCTTGCTTATTCTAGACTGAAAATTCCTCATAGTACACACGTCCCTCCAGTCTCTGCTTGGTTACATTCCTTCTTAGTATGAAAGACTACTAGATTGTTATCATGACTCATAATATAATTGCCTAATACCAAAAAGTCATTATTCATGACAACTTTTGAATAGACTGCATTGTTATAGCTACCTTACAGGGAAAAAGGGGTTCACTCAGTGTACCTGATTCCCCTAGAATTTCTCCAGACCACAAGAAAGGTACTTCTGTCAAATGAAGTTTTACACTATCTATCTTTTTTCCTTTTTTAAAAGATTTTATTTAATTTATTTTATTTATTTATTATTTGACAGAGAGAGACACAGAGAGAGGTAACACTAGTGGGGGTAGTGGGAGAGGGAAAAGCAGGCTTCCTGCTGAATAGGGAGCCCAATGCGGGGCTCGATCCCAGGACCCTGGGATCATGACCTGAGCTGAAGACAGATGCTTAACGACTGAGCCACACAGGCGTCCCTTACACTATCCATTTTCAGTTAAAAACAAAACAAAACAAAAAACTTCTATTGAAAATTTTTGAAATTTTTGCCATAGCTAAACAGAATTCTCAAAAGATGTATGTTTCAGGTACTATGAATTTCGGAGACTGAGTTTACAGGTATATATAGGCTTACAGATTTACAGGTTTTAAGACTGATGATTATATATTACAGGTTATAGATTTAAACTAAAGGGGCACCTGGGTGACTCAGATGGTTAGGCATCTGCCTTTGGCTCAGTGTCACGATCCCAGGGTCCTGGGGTCAAGTCCCACATTAGGCTCCCTG